TTCCTTGGAAAATGTGTTGTCCTTGCCGCGCATTAAGGTATATGAAGCGTAATTTTTATGATTTTTTAAAATCGCTGGAATAATCGCGTAATTGCGCTGATGATCGCGGAATTTCTCATTTTTTTCACGAAACCACCGGGAAAAAACGCATTTCCCGTAAAACCGAGTTGAAGAGCTTGTCAATTTCTTAGGATTCAACAAACTCGTCGGAGATGTCGCGTACTTTTCGCGATATTGAGATGAATTTCGCGTAATGTCGCTCTTTTTATCAATTGGAATCCTAGTGAGCAACTATTGAAACTCCGGAGTAGATATGTGGTATCACGTGAAGCTGATGGAAAATCATAGAGTTTTACGTACGTTTATGACTATAATGCTCGCATCGATGTAGAAACCGCGTATTTTCCCCAATGATGTGAAAATGATATGATCTTTTCCGCTGAAAATGTTTCGCTGGAAAAAATCGCTGGAAAAAACGCATTTCCCGGGAAAACTAGATGAAAAGCGAGTAATTTCTGAAGATTCTCGGTGCCACATCTTCAACATATCAAAATCGCGCACAACGAAAATCGCCGAAATCAACTCTTCACAAAGATATTCAATGATTCCTGATGTGTGAATTCAAACCACCCGCTCAATAAAACTCAATGCTTTACGTGATTCACATCGCGCGCTGAACATTATCATAACAGGTGGAGGAGAAGAATAGCCGTTAGCTGTGATCAGTTTATTCAATTAATACATTGCCGAAGCTTTTCGTCCTCACACGGACATCTTCAGGACAGAACTAAATACATGCATGAAACTAACAAAATTAAATAAAATACATGCACAAACTACCAAGTAACTACATTTTTAAGCAAAGATGTGTGCAGCAGACGGCAGAAATAAAATTTATAAGTTCATAACCTTAAAGTAAATAACATCAAAACAAATATAGACGAAAGCTTATTTTTTAACTACTAGGAGCAGCACCATACGGGTATGTAGGAAAGTAAACAAGCGGGAAATTCAAACACTAGGTGAGGAGGAGGAGTTACAATTCACAACATTTATCCAATAGTACATTATTTGCATGATCTAAATCAGTTTGGATATTAATTAGCTCCTCGTTATTTTTAATTGCTTTCAGAATGTGTAATTTTTCATTTGCTCTTAACACAGCTTTGTTGTTTGATAAATTACAAATCGATACGCTGTTAATAAGGTCAATGGTCCTTCACCTATTCATTGTTCTTAGCTGTTAACCGCACGATGATGTTTAATTATCATAACAGTCTCTGCGATATGAAAACCTGGCAACCTCAATTTTGACGCTTTGGCTCAGCTATAGCAAATAGCTTATAATTTGAACAACACATGGTGGGAAATGAACAGAGCTCGATTGATAGGCTTGCTGAAACTGTTGTAGTGCGCAATTTGACCCACGTAGAGCTTTGAGTTTCTTGTCAGCGGGCAGTTCAAAATCCGCGTAACCAATGTGAAATAAAAACGTTAATATCTTCGTCAGGACGTAGTTTTAGTAATTTTCGTTCCCCGAATCGTGTTCTACGTGAAATTCTGGTTAAGAAACATGTATCAGAATGTTTTAATTCGTGCCTTGTCTAGTGGTCCATTGAACGTATTGAAGCAAACGTTAGACTTATGAAATTAAAGAAACCACAAAAAATTAAAGCAGTAGGCTTATCCAAGCACCATTATTTCCAAAAGAACCGAGCCAGTGCTGCGGTTTATAAGAACTTAAGAGGTGGGTCTGCAAATCCAGCCTATGAAAGAATCAGACGAGAACCTGAAAAAAAAGGAAAAACTAGTATCAACACAGTCGAAGCAGGCAAGACGTATTCGGGCTTCTTTTTTAACTTTTCTCTGAGCGACACCTCATTGACAGCATATAGCAGAGCATTGAGAGCTCAAGCTTCGCGTCATCGCGCCTTCAATTTTTCAGATGCAGCACGGACGTCCATCAAGTACGAATAGTTGTATCTCTTCGCCGTCGTAAACGCGCATCCTTTCCCTCCTCCTATGTCCATTTTGTGTTAGTTTTCGATTGTCGTATTCGTAATGGTGCTTCGAGCACTACGTGAGTAACACAGTCGAAGGTAGAAAAGGTAGGAATGTGTTCGGGCCTCTTTTTGAACTTTTCTCCCGAATCTGAGCCCTGAGCGACACTTCATTGATAACATATAGCAGAGCACTGAGAGCTCACGCTTCGTGTCATCGCGCCTTCAATTTTTCAAATGTAACACGGACGTCCATTAAGTACGAATAGTTGTATCTCTGCGCCGTTGTAAACGCGCATCCTTTCCCTAGCTTCATTTCCATATTGTGTTTGTTTCTATTCATTTTTAAATGAAGAGAGGCAAAGAGTTTCAGAAAGTTTTGTTGTGACACTGGGTTCATCCCATGTTTCTATCAAGACATGAGCCCTGAGACCCATAAGAATATATTCATAACAAGGCTCACGTCATAATGCACATTGTTCCGTTAGGTCGAAATACGTCCGTCTATGGTTTACGTTGTGGTAAAGGGAGGTTCGAGGAGATCTTTAACTTAGTATCATACACAGGACCATCTCTGCAAAACTCAAGAAAATTCAGCCGTATATATCTGGGAAGAGTCCTTGAAGGAATTTCAACGATTTATCACCACAAAGAAACAAAAAACCGAAGAAAATATAAGAGTCATATTTCTAAAAACATTTCTAGATTTGTACATTTTAAGGAAGGTTCGCACCTTCTTGAAAGTTTGAAAAACTCATAAAATTTCCCGTCTCGTATTTTTTTTATTTTTTGCGGTGATACATTATTGTAAACCCTTCCAAGGGTCCATAGTCAAAGGTAAACTTCTAAATTTTACTTGGGATTGGTAAAAACTGAGCTTTTTTTACTCTATTTCGAGGGGTTTTTTTTAAAAAAAAAAGAAACCTGTAAACTAAACTAAACGGTGCCCCCTGAGGAAGTAAGGAAAAAAGCTGACAAAGGAAGGACTAAAAACACGACTTCTAATCACAAATGTAGGTGAGCCAAGTGGGCTTTTTCAATGGAAAGTAGCTGTTTCAGGAGAGACTATGAATGCGACCTAAACTGCCGTGCTAAGGAAGAACCGTATGAACATTCGAGAGTTGCCAAATTTCCTTCGATAAAGTGTCTATTTTTGAGAAAAGTTATGAATATTTTTCCTTGAAATTTTCAGGAACTTCAGGTGAAATTACAAACAAAATTATCTGAAAAATTGGAAGAAAATAATTCATAAATTGACCAGGGGATTCTTGTTTTATCAAAGGAAATTTGGCAACGCCTGAAGGTTCACACGGCGTTTTTCCTCAGCGCGGCGGCAGTAAACATGTACCGTCGACAGTGGCGAGGCGTGAATGATCGATTATCGATATTTACCCATTTGAAGCTACTCAAAGAATCGATTATGAAGGTATTCGTTGCGAGCACCATAATTATCGATCCTTTTCCATTGGTTCAAGCGACAGATCAACCGATACATCGCAAAGCACGCCATGTCACTGACCGTTGAGGGACAGATCAATTCCATTCATCGCCGTTTCACTGAATGGCGGATCATGTTTACTACTCCATCGCGATCCGTCAGAAAAAAACCGATCGTAGTATTCTTGACCTTGGCATTGAACCAGGTGTATAGTTTGCGGCGACCGCCGGTAGGCAGCGCTCCGATCTCGAGGTATCCGAGGGTGCTGAAGGGTCCTCCATGGCGGCGGTTCCTCAATCCTCCGCCAATCGGCAGAGAGACCATTCGGCGATCCTTCGCGGCCGCGCATCGCTCCACTCAACCCAATCGCGTGTTTGTCCGACACCCACGTGTGCTCATTTTCAAACGTTAGTTTGCTATCTCCCGATTTTCTTTTCGAATTTGTGGTGTGTGTTTTATGAAGATTACTCACGTGTTATTTCCCTGACAGTTGCTCGGTCACCCGCGTGTCAACGGAGCACTCACGTGTAAACATTTCCCTGTGATTCCAAGTTTTAATGTGTGTTTTATAAAGATCACTCGCGTGTCATCTCTCCAACAGTTGCTCGGTCGCTCGCGTGCCAACGGACCACTCACGTGTAAACATTTTCCAAGTTTTTAATGCGCGTTTTTTCACGTGTCACCTCATCTCGCGTCTGTTGATCGCGTTCGGCACACTCGCGTGTTAAACAATTGCTCGCGTGTAAAAATAATTAAAAATAATTATTTCCTCGACAAAAAATGTGATAACAGCTTTGTGATTTTCCTTTAATTTTTCGCAGGCCCACCACGTACTTCTTCGGCCTTTTTTGTGTTTTTCCATCAATCAATCGATTTCAAAGTGTTGTTGTCACAACTGTCTCAATCACTCTACGAGAGTCTGATAATGTTTTCAATACTCTTGCAAATTGATCCCTTTTTTACGAATCGACATATTTTCGTTAAATGATGTGAAACGTCTTGCCGGTTGTATTTTGTGCATCCTATGGAACCGGCGTTTGAATCTTTGGTGACTTTTGCGACCTGCCTCTCTCGGAAATCGTTTTGCTCATTTTAGCAGTGATACGATTCTCACTCCTTGTGTAATTAAAATGATGGCCTCCTAGTTGGGATCACCGTTGAATAATTCTAACGTCTGGATCTATCAATTTATTTCTGCACTCATTGCATAGAAATTGATGTTAATAAATTAATAAAACTATCAGCACAGTGGAATTTTCTCTTCGCGTGACTGCTTGTCAAACCAGCGATGACATTCCTTTAAATTGAAATGTATCAAACCCCGATCAATTTTTCGGAAAAACTAGTCGTGCTTTATACAAGATATCACCGAGAGCGCAATCACAAAATTTTTGGTGAAATATTGGGTGATATTTTCCCATTTTTTTGTCAGACAGTCACGGAAGTTTCTCATTGAATGAGAGGGCACAACTCAAGTGTGTGACACTGCAAGTTCCTCAAAAAGTGAATTTTTGTCTGCGAATGTCAAGATTATCGACTCGATATTATTTTGTTGTTTGGAGGGAAACATACATTCCCTTTCGCAAGTCGGAAAATCGGTCAACCAAAGGATAAAAGTGCGGGTAGTGCAACGGTTTTTAAAGTGCCTGTGCTGACGCGTTATTCCGCGAGTGTCGCAGACGAAGTGACAAGGGCTTGTATTTGCTTGCGAGAGGTCATCAATAATTCCATCGAGTGGATTTTTTCAGTCCATCATCGAGTTTTGAGTATTTTTTCCCCAGGTTGTTATATTTAAATTGTTACGTTTGTCCAAGTTCGATCGGTTCCCGGGTTGTGTTCGACTCCATGCAAGTCTCTCCGTGCAATCCTCTCGTGTCGGCGTCGCGCCCCGAAGATTTTAGTCGGCCCGGAATTTTTCCCGCTCAAGAAAAAGCATGAAGGTGTGCAAATGCTCCCCGAAATTCGTCGCCCGTAAAGTGTTTTGTTCGGTTCACCGCCCGTTACACTCGAAAAGCAAAAGGAGGAACTTGGAAATAATGCTCATGCACTTTCCGCTCAAGTATGATTAAGTGGTTGTTGTTCCTGATGATCTTGACGTCCAGCCTGGCTTTCGATTGGAGTGAAAATTTCGTGTTCCAGGATTTCAACAAGGATACCAGCGACCTGTACATCAATTACAACGGGATTTCGGCCAAACAAAGCATCACCAAATCAAAAATCAAAGGAAAAAGGTTCGTTCATTTTTTCGGGATGACATTATCAGAAATGTAAAACATTTTATAAAAACATGTAATTCCCTTGCTTACTATTTTATTGTCAAAGGGTATCCCAGGATAAGGGCACCAAAATGCCCCTCC